GGACTCAGAGGCAAAAAATATACAAATCAATTTTCACTGCAAAGTAAAGGAGCTGTTACAGTGGAGGATTACTGGACTGAATGTCAATATTATGACACAGTATGAGTGTGTTTCATAATTGCAATCATTGTTGCTTTTGTTGTGGTCATCCACTTACAATGCTTGGTGTCAGTTTATTTATCTCTTGTAAAAATAAAATACAGTGTATGTGTGTGTGAAAAAAAAAAAGATACATGCACCCCTATGTTCATAGCAGCACTATTCACAATAACCAAAACATGGAAATAACCTAAGTGTCCATCAATGGATGAATGGATAAAGAAGATGTGATATATACAATGGAATACTACTCAGCCATAACAAAGAATGAAATAATGCCATTTGCAGCAACATGGATGCAACTAGAGATTATCATACTAAGTGAAGTAAGTCAGAAAGAGAAAGACAAATGCCATATGATATCACCTACATATGGAATCTAAAATATGGCATAAATGAACCTATCTATGAAACAGAAACAGACTCACAGACATAGAGATCAGACTTGTGGTTGCCAAGGGGGGTAGGGAGGGATAAGGATGGACTGGGAGTTTGGGGTTGGTAGATGCAAGCTATTACATTTAGGATGGACAAACAACAAGGTCCTACTGTATAGCACAGGGAACTATATTCAATCTCTTGGGATAAACCATAATGGAAAAGAATATGAAAAAGAATGTCTATATGTGTACAACTGAGTCACTCTGCTGTACAGGAGAGATTGGCACAGCGTTGTAAATCAACTATACTTCAATTTTTAAAAAAATGTTAAAAATAAATAATTGAAATCAGGATCTTGAAGTGATAGCTACATCCCCATATTCATTGCAGCACTATTTGCAATACCTAGTGAAGATACAGAAACAACTGAAATGTCCATGGACAGAAGAATGTATACAAAAAATGCGGTATAAACATACAATAAATATTATTCAGCCTTAAAAAAGAGGGAAATGACACCATTTGCAACAACATGGAAGGCATTCTAAATGAAGTCAGTGAGTCACAAAAGGACAGAAGGACTGCATGATTCCTCTTACATGAAGCATCTAAAATAGTCAAACTTACAGAAGCAGACAATAGAATGGGGATTGCCAGGGTCGGGGGGGGGAAGGGAAAATGGGGACTTGTTCAATGGGTATAAGTTTTCAGTTATACAAGGTGAATAAGTTCAAAAGATCTCTGAAAATCGTAGTGCATATGGTTAACAATTCAGTAGTGCACACTTAAGAATTTGTTAAGAGGGTACATTTCATGTTCAGTGTTCTTACCATAAAAAAAAAAGGGAGCACAAGGAAATTTTGGAGGTGATGGATATGTTTATTACCTTGATTATGATGATGGTTTCATAAGTATGAGTATGCATACTCATCAATTTGTATACATTAAATGTGTCCAATCTGTTTATGAATATACTTCAACAAAGGTATAAAAAAGTTAAAGCTATTGAAAACATTAAAAAAATTAAAATAAAAAATAAAAGCCATCATAATAACTTTTAATTTTATCTTTATTTATGGAGGTAGTTATTATTATGCCCATTTCATTGCTAAGACACTGAGGGCCAAATGGCACAGAATTAGGTAAGTCTCCCAGGGCCAGCTGGCAAATAAATGGTGTTTGCAGACCTCCATATTATTATCATTGTTATTATTATTATTATTTTTTTTTACAATTCAGTGGTTTTTAGTATTATATTTAAAGTTGTGCAGTTATTACCATCATTTAATTTTAGGACACTTCCAAAAGAAATCCCATACCCATTAGGAATCACTCCCTATTTCCCCCTACCCTGACAATTCTAATCTACTTTGTCTCTATTTCCATAGGATTTTTATATCTCCCTAATGTACTCACATAATTCAATTTTTAAAAAAATCAACTTACAGAGCTTTTTAAGAACAGAATGCTGTATAGCTACCAATGGAACTATTTATCTTAACTTGAATAAGTCACTTTAAAATTTCAGAGTACAAACCTGGATCCTTTTCCCCTGAATTGCTTGTTTTCTTTTTTTTTTAATAATAATTCTTTTTTAAAATAAATGTATTTATTTATTTTTGGCTGTGTTGGGTCTTCTTTTCTGTGCGAGGGCTTTCTCTAGTGTGGCGAGCAGGGGCCACTCTTCATCGCGGTGCGCGGGCCTCTCACTATCGTAGCCTCTCTTGTTGCGGAGCACAGGCTCCAGACGCAGGCTCAGTAGCTGTGTTTTCTTGAACTTTATTCCTCAGGTATTATAATCACTAACTGCAAACAGTTTCTCTTTGAATTCTCTTTGGCAAGAATCCAAATTTTTACTTTTTTAAAAAAGGAGCAACTCTGAAGAGAAGGAATTAGGCAGATAGTTCATGGCTTCTGTATTTCTTATTCTAGATTTAGAAAACTTCCTTATTTGATTCAACATTAGGCACTTGATGAAAAAATAAAATGCGAAAAAGAAAATGTTTCAGATTGTTTTCCTGACATAAGACACCTCGCCTAGTTAGTGAGCTGATGTGTATCTTGTTTCCAAGGTAGAATGTAAACTCTCTCAGAAGGGAGATCAAGGCACTCATTCATTACTTCACATCTGTCCTGTACACTGCATGGGCGCTTTATATTTTATTATAGGTCCCAATTATAAGTATGAAATCAGAAAAGAAAAACCTAAATTTGTTCTCCAACGTGGGGGAAAATGGTTACAAATGCTCACTTCTCCCTACAAGTCAGTTTAGCATTTCAATTCATACTTGGCGTTCCAAGGAAGCTATATAAGAAGCACAGTTCCTGCTCTATAAAAATTTATTAGCGTTCCACTGTGATGTCCCAAGGTAAAGTCACAAATTATGAGAAAGCCAAATCTATAAAGAACCTTAAAAGACCATCTGGTCCAACCAGCTCTTATTTTCTTGATCTGAAATATGATAAGTTGGAGTTGCCCAAGCAAATCAGGACAAAGCTGCTATTCAGTTTGGGGTACCACTCATTAAACTAACAAATGTAGTAAATGTGGTAAACATTATGAAAACCCATTGCTGTATGCAAACATTCAGATGTACAAGAAAGATAAGGAATGATGGTTTTTTTGGGTTTTTAAAAACAAATTATTCGAAGTATTCTAAATAGAAGATCCAATAATGCAGAAAAACATCCTGTAAAGTTAGATTTACCCACAACTTTTCAGGAACAGCTCATAAAACTGGGTGTATGTATATTGAAACAAAAGTTGTTAGAAGGGGAACCTATTACGAGCTTCAGGCTTTGCACCTGCATCTCATTTAATCCTTCAAAACCCTGTGAGGCTGGCAGAGCCATCACCGCCCTTTCACAGCTAAGAGAACAGACTCAGGGAGACCAAGTAATTTAGCTAAGGGCTCACAACTGGTTAAAAAATAAATTTAAAAAGGCCCTCAGTTACTAACATAACGTATTCTGATGTCATACAGCCTTTGGCAAGGTTTAATTCAATGGCATATTCAACACAAACATTACACTATTATTCTCTGACCTTCATTTCCATGGCTGGCCTGATTTTATCACATTTTTATATTTTTAAACCAATTTCCAAAGTGACCTTTCTTTGAAGTGTACCAGCTGACAGCTGGTACAGCTGTGAATGTACTGTAAATGACAGGATACATTTTTTTTTTCATTTTCACTTCCCTCACTGCCTACTCCAGAGAAGGACAAATGAAAGATTTTAATCAACACTTTTTGCACATTAAAATTTCAAGCTCTGTAATCGCAAAAATTAATCCCACAGAGTTTACCTTAAGCAAACTGGTTGCTTCAGAATGACTTAATCAATGTTATCATGAAAATAAAATACATTTCTAGCAGGCACCACAGGAGGAAATTGGTGACCAAAGCCTCAGGGCTGCTCAAGCTCAAAAATAACAGGAAAGTTGAAAAAGGTATTGGACTAGGAGTTTAGATTCCTGGATTCCACTTCTGGTTCTGCCACTTACAAGTAGTAAGAGATGACCTAACTTCCTGGGACATGTTTCACTTTCAGTAAAACAAAGAATATAATTCTTGACCTATCTTGTACACAAGATTGTTCTGATGGTCAATGGAGATAATGGGCAGATTTAAAAACATGGTGCTAAACAGCACCATAGATATTTTATAGGTGGAAAAAGGAAGCCCAGAGAGGCTAAATAACTTGAAAACGTCACACAGCCAGGGGATGACAGAGCCAAAGACGGGAACCCCTGAGATTTTCAGTCCTGAGCTTTTTAGAGTCCACTTGTTGTCTTTAACAGCTTCTACTCAATGAACTTTGCACATTATTACTCAACATTATTTGCGTGCCACCTCAATAAAACTACCCTGGTGTCCCTTTGGGAAAGTGTCATAACCATTCTTGATTTATAAAGCTACACCTCAAAATGCAAGCTTCCTGATTTAATATCTTAATGCTGGAAAGGCTATTCCCGGTCAATTGGACCGACCTGAAGCATAAGAATTCGTTCTACTACATCCGCGAGAGGCATACTGGGCAAAGTACTCACAACCATCTCTAAGGCCAATAAAAGAACTTCTTTGCAGCCCACTTTAAAACAACTGAAACTTTCTTTGCAGCGTGTACCAAATCAGATTGCTTTTTAAGTCCAAGCTTTGCTCACTTCATATATATGGCATTAGCAGGATCGAGAAAAGAGCTGGAGGACCCTTGGGTTCTGCCACGAGCTCCCTGGGAAAAAAAACTCTCCAGGCTTCAATCCCCCAGAGTGTGAAAAGAGGGTGACGACAGCAAACACCCCCAGTGTTCCCCTCGAGGGATGCTGAGAAACTATTGGGCGGGAGAGCGGACGGTGCGCAGGATGACTGAGCAGCCTACTCAGCGGGGTCCCGAGCAGCCCAGTGCAGACACTGGGCGCAGGCGGTCCCACCCCGGGCCCCGCCCGGCTAGGGGGGGGACTGCGCGTGGGGGCGCCCCTCCCCCGGCTTCTTTAGTGCGACCGGCGGGGGTCACTCACCGGGCCAGGAGCTCTAGGAAGATCACGTTACTGCAGCAGCCTGCGAAAACCAGGCCCACCGCGAAGGCCGGGCGCATGGCCGGGGCAGGGTAAGGGGAGCGAGCGCGCAGAGGAAGCGCCCGCCTAGACTGCTACCCCAGGAAACCCGGCTGCCGCCTCGCCGCGGCACTGAACATCACCACCGTCCCGGAGTGCTGCTCTCCCGGGGCCGTCGCTGTCTCCCTTTTCCCGGCGGCCGCCACCAACCCTGCCGGCGAGGAGCTGTAGTTAGCCGTCAGCCGGGGCCCCATTCATCCGATGGGGTGTCCGAATCCGGGCCAGACTACACTTCCCAGAATGCTGCGCGCCCGTACGTCCGGCTGCGTCGTAACTCGCCTCTGCCCGGCAGCTCCACCGGAGAGGAGAGACAGGCGAGGTGCCCGTCATGCCTCGCGCGGTAGCAAGCCGCGGGGCTTGCTGGGAAGTGAAGTTCCAACGTTGTTAATGTTGTTTCTTAAGAGGCCGCCAAGGGCTCTGAAAGGGATTCGTCCAGCACTTTCACGGTAAACTCACAGCTGACGGCACTAGAGGTACACACCTGTGATTGCTTGATCGTTGGAAGTATTCTAGTATCTGAAAAATCTCCTGAATTGGGAGAAAGTAGAAATTCTCTGAACTTCCTTCTCTACCTTTTGAAAAGAACATTGGACTCGGGAAGTTCTGGGATTGAATCTTGGCTTAGCCACTAATCAGCTCGGCTATCTCAGGCAACTGCTTTCTCATCATAGGTAAAGATGGGAACAGTTAATGCCCATCTTACCTGGCTGTTGTGAGGATTAAAAGCTATGATCACCTGGGGATCTTGTTAAAATGCAGGTTCTGATTCACTAGACCTGCTGTGGGGCCTGAGGTTCTGCACTTCCAACAAGTTACCAGGTGTCAGTGATGCTACAGACCTGTCAAACACACTTTGAAGAGCACATGCCTATAAACCAGCTGACTCTGGAGACCTTTCCATCCCACCCGTCTCACTGGCTCAGGGACTCTGGGCCAGCCAACCAGCCACCCAGGCTCCTCTTTCCCTGTAGCCTACAGTCAGGCTCAAACAAACTAACTTGTCCTTCTCCTTCACTTTAACACTGAATATCTTTAAAGAGTAATCTATATTCACGGTCTCTGCTTTTTACTCTCATCAAAGCCAGGTTATTGAAAGTAGCCTCATTTAGAGCCCTAATGACCTCTCAATTGTCCAAACCAAATATCACAGGCTCACCTTACTTGATCTTGCCACGGCTTTCGACAATGAAAGCTCAATCCTCTTGACATTCTCTTGTCCCTCTGCTCATAAGACATGAGCGGCCTGTTTCTCTTTCTACTTCTCTGACTTATCTTTTTCAGTTTTCTTTTTGGGCTTTTCCTCCTCTGCCCACTGAGTTCTCCTAACAGAGCTCCATCATTTGTCCCTCCTCTATTTCCCTGAACACTTTCTATTGGTTATCTCATCTTCATAACTTCAACCATCACCATATGTAACTGAGATCTTACATGTATGTACAGCCCCAATCTCCTGTGTGCCTTAAATCAAAGTTTCCAACTGCTTATTTGACATTTTCACCAATAAATCCTTGTAACCCCCTCAACAACAGCATATACACAGTTCATTATCTACCCTCCCAAATAAGGCCCTTATTTCTACTAAGGACATTATCCACTATCTGTTCTCTTTGGGCAAAAACCTAAAAGATATTCACAGTCTTCCTTGCCTTCCCATCACACATTTCTTTTATCTCTACATTCTGTCAATTCTGCCTCACAAGTATCTCTAGATTCCAGCCTCGCCTTTCAGTTTACATCGATGTCTACTTATCCTCCTAACATATCTTGGTGCCTTCAGCCTCTTCCCTCTTCAACTCATCCTCCATGCTGTCGCCATACTGTTTCCAAAAACAAACTCAAACTCTTTATGTCACACTGCTTTTCCAAGATGTCTGTTCCAATTACCAGTACTGTGTAACAAACCACCCCAAAATGTGGTGATTCAAAATGTAGTATAGGGCTTCCCTGGTGGTGCAGTGGTTGAGAGTTCGCCTGCCGATGCAGGGGACGCAGGTCCATGCCCCGGTCCGGGAAGATCCCACAGGCTGCGGAGCGGCTAGGCCCGTGGGCCATGGCCGCTGAGCCTGCGCATCCGGAGCCTGTGCTCCACAACGGGAGAGGCCACAACAGTAAGAGCCCCCCCCCCCCAAAAAAAAAAAAAAAAATGTAGTATAGAACAAAAAGATGTTCTCTCTCACACACAGTTCTGTATGTTGACAACGTCGACATATACCTAGTCCGTTCTCCATTGGAGTTTCAGATGCCGTTGTGGTCAGATGCCAGCTAAGGCTGGAGCCTTCCGAAGGCATGACTGGGCTGATGAATGGCTCTCTCCTCATGGCCTCTCTTAGGCTGTGTTTCCTCACAATATTGTGGACTCCGGTTAGCCAGACTTCTTACAAGATGACTAGCTCCCCCTAGAACAAACGTTCCAAGAGATCAAGTCAAAAGCTGTAGTGGCCTCAGTGTGTGACACTGACACACAGTGTCACTTGCACCAAATTCTATTGGTTCCATTGGCCAACCCAGATTCATTGTGGGAGGGGACTAGCAAAGGCATCATCTGTGTGTGGGGGGAAGGGGCATCTTTGAAGACTAGCTATACAATGTTTCTTGGCTCCTTGTGTGAAATTCACTCTCTGTAGAAGGCATGCAAACATGTCACCATCAAGCCTCACTTTACGTTTGTAATTTCCTCTCCTGCCATTCTTTCCAGTGCTACCTGGACTCCTGCCACATTAAATGCTCTGTACTCTGAGTTTATAGTGACTTTCAAAATTCGCATCTGTGCACATGCTTGCTTGCTCTGAAAACCCTTTTCTTTTTGGCCATCTCCTACTCATCCTTTTATGGCAATGGGGGACACAGGAGTGAGTAGATACTTCTACACTGTACAGGGGGAAGGTCCCTGCTCAGACATCACCTTTCTGTGTGGTTTTTCAAAGCACCATTCACAGTTCCCTCCTCTATATCTCTAGCACCCCATCCATACATAAACCAGTCCATGAATCATGTTGTATTGTAGTTATACATGTTCATGTTGGTCTCCCCCTTTAGACCATGCCCCTTTGTGGACAGAAACCAAGAATAACTAACTCATCTCTAGATCCTTAGCATTATATACAGTGACTGGTATATAATATGTACATACGCTTTTTGTTGAATGAATGAATGAGTGAGCTTGACTTCATTATTTGAGTCAAATAATTCACACCTCATAAATTCAATATATAATATTTTTCATCTTGATTCATTTCTAAAATGTACACATCAAAAATGTACTGCTCAATAATTTGCATAAACAATGATATATAACCAATACCCTGGCCAGGAAACAGAACATTACCAGCACCCCAAAAGATCCCTGTGGCCCCTTCAAATCACTAATCCCCTCCAGGAATAACCCCATTTTTTACTTTCTAGCAACACAGATTAGTTTTGCCTGGTTTTAGACTTGACATAAATGGAATCATACAAAATATTTTCTTTTGTTTCTGCTTCTTTCACTCAACGATATGTTTGTCGGTTCATATGTGTTGTTGCATGTACTTGTAGTTCATTTATTCTCATTGCTGGATAACATTCTCTTGTATGAATGTACCACAATTTATCTCTTCTCCTGGTGATGGACATTTTGGGCATTATGAAGAGTGCAACTATGAAATTTCTTGTACATAACTTTTGGTGAACATAAACACATTTCTGTTGGATATTAGTGGATTAATCAAGGTCCTTAGTCAAGAAACAGAAATCATACAGTAACGAACAAGGAAAGTTTAATATAAAGAATTATTAACAGTAACAGAGGATTACTTAACGGGTTAAGAAACTCCCAAGATTATAGGAATAGTAGCTACAACCTAGGAATGAAGCAGACCACTCAAGGAAGGAACAAATTTGGAAGAGGGCCTTCTCTCTTGCAAATTGAGACTCAGGCTTTACCAAAGAGGGCATGGCTATAGCCCACTAGCTAGTAGAAAAGTTCCGTAAGGTGCTGATAAAACTAGCCGTGAACCACCCTCTGGGGTCCGGCTGGGGCACTGGCCAAGTCATCGGGTGTTGTACTTTCCAGGAAGCTGACTGGGGCTCTGGAGAACTTCCTGGTAACCTCCTGGAAGGATACCACTGAACTCACTGAGGCGAGGGCCACGGGATGTCCTATATGCTGCAGGAACAAGAAGAAAGGAAAAAGCACCAGAACCAGGAAGACAGGGCCCCTCCTCCCGCTGTGTTCCTGCAGTGCTGTCATGACGAAGGTCCACACTGTGCCACCTGGCAGAGGGGAAATGTCCAGAGGATCCAGCTCCAGCATCACAAGCAGGGCCGTGAGGGGTGGATTTTGAGCTGGGAGGCTGTAAATCGACAACTGAGACTCCCATGGGGTGGGGGTGGGGGGTGTTAGGGTCATTTCAACTTCCATATTTTAATTGTTTCATCGTAAAACCAAAGTTACAAAGTGCAGGCCAGGCTTCATCTCCCAGGCTTTTTTCTGCCTTCCCCTCTGCGTTCAAACTTCTAGCATCTTTGAATGAATAGCGACATCTTAGACAGCAGCTGGGCTCAACGTGTTTAAACCTTCGCACAATCCGCTTCCCTTGCGTGGAAGGACCTATTGCTTTGGGAATGTTCATCATCTTTGCTCCTGTGTTGTCAGCAGGAAAAAGCCGTCAAGGTTGTCTTAAAAGCCATTTTTGCTTCTAGCTCCAGCCACTCAGACATATTTTGAATCATTTATTAAATCCACTTAACCAAGGTGTTGACAAAAAATTAAGTAAGATGACTGCTGTGGGATACTGCTTGACAAGTGTCCTCAAGTTGACAATCCTACAGAGATCTGTCACTTGATTTAAAAAAAAAAAAGTTCTCATATCTATTATGTGGGGATGATTTTCTCCTCTATCACATAAATCTTGAGATGCTTGGAGCTGTGCATGGGGAAGGCACACTATAAATATACGTGAGGTATTATTTATAAAGTCAAATTTTTTTGTTACTTGTTTCATAGGTCAGATTCAAGCAATGCCCCAGTGTGTTGATAGATTTATGTGATCTAGCTTCTTCAAGGATGTTATTCAAAGACAGATGACCTTTTTTCAGAGTACTGTAGTTAAGGCACATGGAGCTTTGGCCAGGAAGGAAACTTTCTTGACCAGAATGTTAGTGGTATGAGGTCAAGGACTTTGTCTTATTAGCCACGGTACCCTCTATATCTCTATGGCGTTTGGCTCATAGCAGATGCTCACTGAGTTTGGATGGAAGGTCGAAAGGAAGAAAGAAAGGAATGGAGGG